CAGCGTAACCTTGAAGGAATGTTCAAATGTTACCATAAATATTAAATATTAGTTTCTTTTGTTAATGCGTTAGCAATTTTCTTAATAAAAACGAGTTAAATTAAAAGTTGTATTTAATTTATTTTGTTAATGCGTTGGCAATTTTAGTAATAAAAACGATTTAAATTAAAAATTGATTTTTGTTCTCTGTTTGCAGTCGTATAAAAAGTATCGTAAAAAACTCGTTTGAAAACCTCTTTGCACACTCGCTCGACTTGTGGACCTCGCCTTCGGCTCGGTCCACCAATATATCTCGCTCGTGTGCAAAGAGTCGTTTTCAAACCTTGTTATTTAATATACTATTCTGCATTCACGCAAAATCCTTCTTCTATAATTGTAAATTTTGTTGAAATGCCCGTCGTGGTGTCAGGTATTGAAACAAGTAGGTCTGCCAACGTTCTGTCACTAATTTTCAAATTTGTCAATTTGCAGTATCGACAGGCACCAGAAAATTATTCAAAGTTGACTATATACCTAACAAGATGTAAAAGGTAAAGATATATTACCTTAATCATTAAATACTCTTTATCGGAAGCCCCAGTCAAAAATTCTTCAACATGTGCTCTTTTCAATACTGCAGCTTTTTTTGCTTTGTATCTTCTCGATTTACTCTTCAAATAAGCAGTAGGCTTGTTATATTTTCCAATATCAATTATTGTAGACCTTTATAGTAGCCTTCAACATCGAATACTTCGTCCACATAGAAGAAATTACATATTTTTTCTTCAAATTTAAAAAATACGATAGCATGACTTCTTCATTTATTGTCGTTACTCACCGCATTTCTCTGCGTTCATTAAATTCGGCGAACACTTTTTCGTAGTATTCCCTGGATTTCGCAGGCAATAAATGGAAAATTGCTTCTTGAGCTTCTTTAAAAAAACAGCCAGATGTACACAATTACTTTCTTGCATTTTTACCAATTCAGATAGAACTATTTATTAAATAATTGATAATAAACAACGTACCATAGCAACCAGTAAGTATAATAAAACCTAGCACGTTTCATTGAGTCTAGTACTCAAGAAATATCAAGTTGTGCGAATATTTTTTTTATAAAATTCCAATAATTCTGCCTCCACAAATATAATTGTAATGTGATTATGGATAAACCGTTATATTGCATTCGTATTTTAATTGCCATTTATCCACTTAAGAATATTAATCGCTCGAACTATGTTCTCGCGTTTAAATATTCTTATGTGGATAAAATACAATAAATATTATGACTTTCGATATTTTGGCGGATGCGCACCCCACAAATTAAAGAAATCATTGCATTTTTTTCTCACTCCTATATTTTATTTGGCACTTTATTTTATTAAGATATGGCGTTTGATAAACGAAATAAAATATTATGAGATAGGATTGAAATTGTTCTGAGAAAAAATTAAAAAAATCATTGGATTGTAACATCCTTATAAGAGAGTCCGTTTCTGTAATTAACAGCAAAGATGTTCTGGATGTTTTATTTTTAGAAATTCTTTTTTATTATACCTGAACATTCCTTTCGTTTTAATTAGCTTTAGGGTTAATTATTTTTAATTGCGTGTTGCACCAGAAGGTCTTATACACCCAGGAATGATCATTAAAATAATTAAACGTCTTGTAAAGTTTGAAGGCTTAAGAATAGGTCGAAAAGTCTGAATTTGAGGCACACGTTTATATAAAACTCCTTTTGAAGTATGATATAAGAAAGTATTAATTATTTTTTCTTACCTCTTCGTTTAATAGGGCTCCTGAGTAACAATAAAGGAATTGCTCCATAAGGATGGCCACAGTGAAGCTTGAAGTTGAAAAAAATGGTATGGTTAATGGTACAGCCTAGAAGAAAGCATCAATTTTAATTATTTAGCCCTTAGCCGTTTCAATTTTTGCTGCTACACTTTAACTCACTAACTTTTCCGAGGGACAAGTTATCTATTACAATATCTGTAGTGATACAAAACCGAAAAAAATCATAAATCTTATTTTTTATCCATAAAGTTTGGATTAGCGGAATAAAAAGTATAAGAACCATAATAACCATTAGCCGAGTGTATGTGCAATAATAGGAAATTACAACTTACCACTGACAAATGAAGACAACAAATGCATATTATTATTACACTAGATAATAACTGGCTAAATACAACTACAGTGTAGGTCCTTTCTAAATCCTGCACAAATCTGAAATTAAACAGAATTACAGAATTTTCAAGAAAGAATTAAAAAAACATAAAATGTCTAACTTTTTCTTCTATACCTTGAATGCAATGGGGGTCTAATCCAGACAGCATCTGTTTCAAAAAGTCCATATTTGGGTAAACCGTATATCCACGGAGATTTTTGGCTTTTTGGTTTTCAAATATCACTAGAAATCAAAATTTTTCTATGCGCATAAAAAAAACCGAGGGCTTAACTTTTGGCGGCACAATATGTTAAAAAAATTCGAAAAATGTCATATTTTTCTTCCTATTTAATTATGTATCTTTTCAAGATTTCATTTTAGGCGAAAATGGAAGAGGAAAAAAATGTTTATAATAAATTTTTTTACAAAATATGACCAGTTACAAATCGAATGAATCATGATTATTATTGTAAAAATCGAAAAAATCGCCAAATATGGGGCTAAAAAATATTACTTTTTAGAGAATCTTTTAAATTGGGTTGGGAGAATCATCTCACCAAATTTCATCAAAATCGGTTTAATAGATTTTGCATAATAATTTTGCAATCCAAATTTTGAAAAAATATTTGCAAATTTTCCAAATTTTGCAAAGCAAAAACCAAGGCCCTTAGATGCTTGAAAATTTAATCACATATAGAAGGTCTCTCAAGCTTTCAAACGCTTTTTGAAAAATTCGAATCCCTCAATTAGGAGAGCTCTGGCGCTTCTTTAAACATTGGTCGAATTTTTGTACTTAGGTATAAACAATTAGGATAACTTTCTTTTTTTATTATTTTTTTTTGTGATTAAAGTATAATTCAAATATTATTTATTGTTTAAAATATAAGCAAATGAGAAATTAACTCATTGTATTACTAATTTTCGATATATTTTGAAAATAATTGTTGTTTAAACAATTTTAGAATATTTAAATAAATTTGTTTTTGATCTTTGNATGTGCAATAATAGGAAATTACAACTTACCACTGACAAATGAAGACAACAAATGCATATTATTATAACACTAGATAATAACTGGCTAAATACAACTACAGTGTAGGTCCTTTCTAAATCCTGCACAAATCTGAAATTAAACAGAATTACAGAATGCCTTAGATGCTTGATGAATTTAATCACATATAGAAGGGCTCTCAAGCTTTCAAACGCTTTTTAAAAAATTCGAATCCGTCAATTAGGAGAGCTCTGGCGCTTCTTTAAACAATCCTTTTTTTAATATTATTTTTTTGTGATCAAAGTATAATTCAAATATTATTTATTGTTTAAAATATAAGCAAATGAGAAATTAAATCATTGTACTTGTTACTAATTTTCGATATATTTTGAAAATAATTGTTGTTTAAACAATTTTAGAATATTTAAATAAATTTGTTTTTGATCTTTGATAAACATTATATAAGTTTATGCACCTACCTTTGATACAATAAAAAAATAACGTTGATAATTAAAGGAAGTTTAAAGATCAATAATTTATTAACGATTTTCTTGAATTTCTCGCTTGCATAAATAAGTTTAAACACGTTTTAAAGTAGGTTGCCAATGAAGAAAAGTATTGCAAACTTATACCTAGTCGGAATACCAAAGGTATTTTTTGAAAAATTAGCCCGGATGTCCCAGTACATTTAGTGTAATTGACGGTTAACTTTGTTTGGCTATAACTACGTAATTAATTGACCAATCGATCTGTTTTTTTTTTAAAGAAGCGTCTTTCCAATAACTTTTAAAACCTGCTTTAAAAAATTTGATTTGATTGAATATTCACAAAGTTTTTCTAACTGTTTATAAGTATAATGTTTAAACAATCGCCAAAACTCTCCTAATTGACGGATTCGAATTTTTCAAAAAGCGTTTGAAAGCTTGAGAGCCCTTCTATAAGTGATTCAATTTTCAAGTATCTAAGGGCCTTGATTTTTGCTGTACAAAATTTTGAAAATTTGCAATTTTTTTTTCAAAATCTGGATTGCAAAATTATTATGCAAAATATATCTAACCGATTTTGATGATATTTGGTGTCATGATTCTACATAATCTGAGGTTTTCTTGAGCCAAGTATGAAAGTCCCAACCCAATTTAAAGACATCAAAAAGATTCCCTAAAAAGTAATGTTTTTATGTAATAATAATCATGATTCATTCGATTTGTAGCTAGTCATATTTTCTAAAAAATTTAATTACAAACATTTTTTCCTTTTCCATTTTCGCCTAAAATCAACTCTTGAAAAGATACATAATTAAATAGGATGAAAAATATTACATTTTTCGTATTTTTGTAACATATTGTGCCGCCAAAAGTTAAGCCCACGTTTTTCTTTATGCGCATAGAAAAATTTTCATTTCTAGTGATATTTGAAAGCCAAAAAGCCAAAAATCTCCGTCGATATACGATTCACCCAAACCAAAACAGATACCGTCTAGTCTAGTCATATTTTTGCGAAGGCTATCTTTGACCTTAAGAAACACTTAATTTATTTATTTCAAATTCCAACATTTTTTTTAATCTCTTTTAAATAATTTTCAAACCCCGCCGATTCACAAGCTAGTGTGACCTCAAACAACGACGCACCTTAGTCTCATCGCATGGGCAATTGGGATCTGAGCTGTGCATTGTTGTCAAATCTCATTATTTAAATTTGTTATTAAAAAGCAAACAAGCAAAAATCAATAATGACCAATGAAATACACCAAAATAAGTAAATAATCCGGTTGCTCACCCGATTTTTACAGCAACACATTAATTATATTATCTTCCTTTCTTGCACGGCGATGTCTTCTTATGAAAACGCCTTGTTATGAAAACAATACTCTTTAGAAATACTCATATATTTGGAATTAATAAAAAAATGAAACATTGTAGTTATCAAAAAAATAGTTCTTTAAAATGAGTCTTGAAATTCTTGAAATCTATTAAGGCAATTAGAAGTCATGACAATTTAAAAATTTCAATATGTCGTCCTTCATACTGGCTTTGCTATGGTAACAACAAAAAAAGTTCAAATAGAACTTATGAAGAGTTTAACAGTGTATCTAAATAGTGTATTTTCAACTTAGGTTATATAAGCGATTAAGTTAAGTTAAGTTAAAAACTTGAAAATATTTTAAACCATTTCTTTTGGCCGTATTTGTTAGATTTTTACCCCATAATCATAGCACGTCTAGTTTTCTATGCTCAGCCGGTCGGTACCGTTAGTGGATCGCCCTGTATATTACTTACTCATAAATAGCATCATAATGGTCTATACAGTCACATATTTTCTTATAGATGACTTTGTTCTTCAACTGTTCCCTTTCCTCGGTGCTTAGTGATTTGCCTTCCTTCGAAATTTGGTCTTCTATTCTCCGATCGAGGTGTAAGAGGGTGTCTTTAAGCACCCTGATTTGACAGGCAGCGTGGTATATTAACGAAGCTACCATGGTGTCTAAGACTGCATTGTCCACCCCTCCGTTCATTGTACCTATGAAGAAAAAAATAAAGAAATGGTAGTGACTGATGTTTAACAAAAATAAATCATCGAAGACTGTCTAACAGTTAATGTACAGGGTAATTCACGTAATATTCTACCCCCTTATCTTATTGATCTTTCTATTTAGGAGAGAATGGTAAAATTTGTAGATTTTGCTGTTTATAATATGTAAACCAAATTTTTATTTTTTTTAATGGGACACCATGTATAATTGTCGCTTATTGGAATCTTTCAAAAACTTTCAGAACTTTCAGAGTTACTTCTGAGGGAAATAGTCCAGTATACGGTAAAAATAGGGTATTACCTCCTAATTATTGACACACGCACTTAAATCTTGTTTAGTTTTTGAGTTATTTCGAAAAAAAGGAAATTTTGTTTTCATTATTTCAAGTTTTTTTTTTAAATTTAGGCATTCTAAACCGGTCAAACTTGCAGAGCCTATTATTAGTACTTAAATAAAGTCAACTATACATGGATTACGCTTAGTTTCTATTTTTATGGTTCAGCCCTATGGCTGAACCATAAAAATATCTATATCAACCAAAATCTATATTTTATTGTTGATTTTTTCTCCGAAAAAATGAAATGATCATTTTATTTTCATCATAACTTCGCGAGTTTTTGAGCTACGAAATTTTTTTCAATAAGCATTTTAAAGGTCTTTCCAAGCACTTTAAAAAAGGTTATATTAATTTTCTTGGAAAAATTAGTTCTTTCGCCATTATTTTACGGTAAAAGGTTCGATTTTACTTTCCGAAAAATAAACAATCACCTTTAGGGAGTGATAGCTCGGTTATTATTACATCTACGACAATCAACAAAGAACGGTTATTTCAAAAGCTTTATTTTCGCTTTATATGGGTTTTTCGATAAAACGCAAGCTTTTCGAATTATTTATTAAAAATGGTTAAAAAATATTCACTTTTCAGATGAAAAGTCAACAGTTTCAATCGCAAATAACTCGGAAAATATTAATTTGTGGAAAAAACGTTATAGATAATTTTTTGCTTAGAATTCATCCCTCTATTGATTTTTGCGATTAAAATGGGTGACTTCACAGCCACCCTCGAGAAGGGGCGGCATCAGCACTATGTAACTTTTATTTCTTGAGCAATTTTCTACTTACTGTTAAAATTTCACGTCAATCGGTGCATGTCTCAAGAATTCGGACCTAAAAAGTGTCATATACTGAGCTAAAAGAGCGATATGTCTCTCGAAACGTCAAAAAACCTAAACCGACGACGTGGCAACTAACCCGGAAATTGTTCTACCAACATATTTTTATATTATATTAAATTTAAAATAAAAATTTACTTATTTTTCACAACTCCTGTCTGCTTTAATAAAATAGTTTAAAATCTCGTCTTATTTGCGAAATGTGATGATATTTCAGTCTTCACAATTTAATGTTAGTGCTATCAAGCTTGAAGTGAAAAAAATTGATAATGCTTACACAGAAACACGAACAAGTACAGAAACAGGTAAACCGCTGTATTCTGGAAGGGATCAAAGGGCAGCCAAACCTCAAAAGGAAATCTCCTGTCGTTGTACATCAGCGGCAAAGAGGCCCATGTCATAACAGCACACGTGCATGTCGTCGAAAATATCAACAGAACATATTTGATGTTCCTCACGGCTTCCGAAAGGATATGATCTTGTTCCGGCAACTGACTGTTAAATATTTTCTTGTTCAAGGCGAACACAGTCCTCCTGGTACCCTCCGGGTTGATCTTGCAGGGCAGCAACTTCACGATCATGGCGTTTAATTCTACTATCATGAAGCCTTTCTGGCTGATGGCCGCGATGTCATGATCTTCGCTTACGATTATGGCCACCAACGCCAAAATCGGCGTTATAACGGTGAATGCTATGTAGAAGAAGAAGGCGTATGGTTTGTAGAGTTTTGGAAAGGAATCATAAGGGTATAAGCCGAAGATTTTAAGTATCAGTAGGTGATACTTGAAGGAACTTTGCACTAGGTCTCTCGGAGGCATTTTGTGATTGATACTAACGATGTGAATGGGGGAAAAGTTCCTTTTAGAGACACTGTTACATAGAATTATTAATGTTTTCGATCAGGGAAGTACTTGAGAATATTTTGTAATAATTTGTTAAGTGGATGCTAAGAACATGATGATCTTCGAGAAATATCACGTGTTCAGTTGAGATTTTTGTTTTTGAAGTTGTACAATAGTTAGCTGATAAGACACCTCAAAAAAATGGATGAATAATTAGTAATATATTTTTCTCGAGTACTTCACTGCTAGTTTCCATGGATAAACAATCAAAACAAAACAATATTAAAGTCTACTTTTCTTAAATCTTTGTTATGTAATTAAAACTATTAGTCTGCTGTTACATGACTTTCTGAAAGAGAATATTTAATCGTAATAAATGGGCAACTGTACCTCAGTATTCAGTTGTAGACTAATTAAAACTTCTTACTTTCATTTAACTTTCCAGAGATTCAAAAGAACTTTTTGGAGCAATTTTTTTGCATAGGCCTGTATTCCAACTCTTTTTTTTTATTTTGATCTAATTCCTCATTTAAATCATAAAGAATATCACAATATTCATTGAAGCATCATCTCCAAATGCAGTAATTTTTCGAATATTTTACTCCATTGCAGTGGCAATGTGCGTGCGTCAGCATAACTGCTTTCACTTTTTTTATGAGCATTTTCTTCAGTGTCGCCAGATTCGTCTACTAACTGGCAGACATAAACAAGGCTAATAGATAGAATCTGTTATAATAAAACAATAACTATTTGCAAATTAAGAATCACGCATTAAATTACGATTAGAAATTCCAGATATTAGTATATCCTTGTATATAAATTAAAAAAGTTATTTTAGAAATACCGTCACATCCATAAAATGTTAATTAAGGTTTTAGTTATTAAAATTTTCAATTAATATGATTTTAATTGCTGTTTTAGGTGTAGAAATTACTTCTAAAAGTTTTGATCTGCAAATAAAAAATCGTCCAATTTGTGACGAATGATCGCTTTCTCATTTTTTTCGTAAATTATCAAATATCAGGGATTTTATTATCGATTATAAAATTCCACCCCATTACTGTACCAACCGACATAGATATTCCTAATTTTTCGTTTACTATAGGGCATCAAAAAATTACCAACTTAAATTAACTATTTCCTTGACAAACAATATTAAAAAAAATGTTTTTTAAAAAATGAACATTTCCATTTTCTTTGTGGAGAAAGCGACAGCATATGTACACTAAATTTGCGGTGATAAAAGAACCATGAAAAAATAATATTTTACTTTTCTCATGTCTTTAAAAAATTAACGCATACCTACAGGGTGTAACTTGATAATTCTTTTTTCTTTATAGGTATTTTAAAAATTAGTAAATAAGAATCATTCATGGGTTATTTGTATGAAAATAGTTATGCCTAGCCAAAAATCTCGTACTCAGAAAAAGCAGACAAAATACAAAAAAAAACACATCGCTTTATATCGCGCACTTAAAAAATTGCTTACGATTCGAAAATCTATTTGTTTTCGTCTTCTGAATTTATTTTCACATTTCGATTTAGTTTCTTTTGACAGTTTAAACTGATTTGCCTTTGTCTGTTTCCATAGCAAGAGAAATTATATTATGTTTATTCTATTATTACTTACTTCATTTTTTTGAACTTGTACCCAGCAAGGATCCAAGTTTGAAACACATCATTCACTGTTCAAGAAAATAATCGCGGTCTCTTTTAATTTTCTTTGGTTGTTATTATTTTTCTTTCCCAAAATTTTTGCCGAACCCCATTGAAATATATGACCTTGGGGATATGATTTCAAATTCTTGTTTTTTAATGTAATTTTTGTGTTCATCTATTCTAATATTCACAAGTCTCCCTAATATAATGTTTATTGCATTCACAGGATATATTGTAAGTGCAATTTTTTTGAATTTTGAATAACATTATTTGGGCGCGTCTTTGATAATAAACGTAAAGTATTTAGTTATCGGAAAAACTATTTTTCTTAATTTTTCCGAAAGTACAGGTTTATATGGAATTAAAAACAATAAGTAACAAATTCAACAGTTTTTCAAAAATTCAAAATATTGCAATAAACATTATTTTGGAGATACTTCTCGATCTGTGAATATTAGAATAAAAATTAAGGAGCAGGAAAATGTCCAAATTTTTTTAGTGATTTTTGGGAGGCTGTAACTTCGTGAATAATGATCGTATCGAGAAACTAAAAACAGTATTTTGAAGCTTGAAGATTCTAGTTTTGAAATCTTGAGATGAAAATTTTTTTAAGCATCACTCTTGGTGCAATCAAAAGAAACAATGCGAGATAACAATTTTACAATTTATTTTTATTTTCAAAACTGCCAATGGCCTCACCAAAATTTTTCCTGTCTTCCTTTTTTACGTTATTTTTTCCACAATTTCACATTGAATAAGTATTTAACAAAGAAATTTGTTAATAAAATTTAGTTATTTTTTTTAAATAGTAGTTTTTAAAAAATTGTTTTTTTTAAGGTTTGAGAACTTTCGAAAAAAGGATCAATAAATCGTATAGAGATGTGTGTAAAAAAATGCTTGAGGTTTCACTTGGGGGTATCAACTTTAATTAATGCAATTACTGTTAACTCTACGAAATACAGTATTCGAAGAAAAAAATCGCATCAAAACTGAACAAAAAAGTAGTAGTAGTATAATTCTAGTACTATAATTTTTTGAATAAGTACATATTTTTAAATCAAATTTTTTTTTATTTTTTTTTAATTTCAATTTTGAAATATTTGATTTTTTTTCAAAATTAATTTTTTTAAATTTTTATTTTTTTTCTTCGATATTTGATGACTATTTAACGCGAAATTGTGAGAAAAACATCGCAAAAAGTTTTTTCATCTTAGTTATCATTATACTTAATTGATGGTTAAGTAGCAATAAATTTGCTTCTATAATTTTTTATAAAACTGACGATTCAGGAAAGGAACAACGGGAGAGATCAATTATTTCAAATTTCAAATTATACAGGCCTCATAGACATGTATTGTGCTAAAAAAAACCTACAAACGTTAGTACTTTTCACAATATTTGCAAAATAGTCGTTAATTTTCCAAAACAGCAAAACGAGAATTTGAGAAATCTGAAATTTGCGATCGCACTTGAGAAAACAGTCGTTATTCAAAGGGGTTCTTCTAAAATTTTGGAAAAGAAAGATAATACCGTTAAAAGACAATTAAAAGAGACAGCGAGCGATTATTTTATTGAATGGTGAAAGATGTATATCAAAGTATTCTATGAACTTGAATCCCTGCTGACTACAGATTCTAAAGATGAAGAAAGTAATAATAGAATGAACATCGTATTTATCATTATATCTCTAGCTATGGAAATAAACAAAAGCAAACAAATTTAAACTGTCAAACTTATTAAAACGAAAAGTCAAATAAGTTTAGAAGACGAAAACAGTACTTTAGATGCGCAATATTAAGCGATGTTTTTGTATTTGTATGCTTTTCTTCAGTGAGAGATTTTTTGGTTAAAGTTTTTTTCATTAAAATAACCCTTTCGCGCAAATTTTTTAATTTTTTTCACAGTTTGCAAAATACCCAAAAAATAAAGAAAAAAACGCAAATTATGCCACATTTATAAATAATTATTTATTTAAACTTGACGTACTTTCCAGTTGGGAGTTCTATTTTTCGTCATTAACATTATTTTTCTTCTTTCACCTTTATTTAGATGAAGAGTTTGTAAGATGTAACGTTTTTACTTGCTCTGTACCATACGAATAGATAACATTCTGTTTCTTTTTCAGGTTAGTATTCCGCAGCCAATGTCTGACTTCAGCTATTCGTAAGTAAGCACGCCATTTTTAAAAACCCAGCTGGACCTCAAGAGAAATTCAGGAAAAACATCTAAGCAAAATTTAACTAACGATAAAAAATATAGTAATTCAAATTCATTAATTCGGGGTCAAAATTATCATAATACCATGTAGATGCATCCATATCGTGAAAGTACAAGATCATTAAAACATAGGTTTCTACATAGATCCGATTTTTATCATTACCTTTAGGCGTATTATCACACATTTAGTATGATTATGTATTCATCATTAAAACATGGAAAACATCGTTGACATTTACGTGTTACTACGTATTTAACGAATGTTTCGAAACACCTGTCTTATTTTATCAAACCTAAAGACGTCGAAAGTACCCAAGAAAGAAGCACTCGAAAGTATAGCGAGCTATCATTTTAAAACAAAGTGCAAGTACCATATTTGTAATTGGCAGCCCAGGCAGCTTAAATTCAATGCTCACAAACTGGTTAATACAGAAATGAGCTTATTATTTACGTATATTTAATGTCCTCAAAATTATGGTTGATTGATAAATAATAAATATTGATGAGCCTTTTAGTATTTGCCTTCAAACAGATTTATGTCTTTGTTTTTCTGGCAGCTTATATCTTATACCGTAAATTAATCAGTTTGTTGCAGTGATTTATCATGATCCTTTAGTCAAGTATTAAATTTGGAATGGCTTAAGGATTTTATAATTCCGAATATTTATAATTATGTTCACAGGTGGGTAGAAAAAAGTAGCACATATCAAAAGGTGGCAAGAGTAGAAAAGTATTCTTTTTCCACACTACAAGCATGCATTGACGATGAACTAATTTTCAACTGTTAACCGTTGAATGTGCTTTAATGTAATCTTAATGTTATAAATAACATTTATGTAATTGCCATTGTGAAGGAAACAAAATTGCTGTTCCAAAAAAAATGACTTACGTGTCTTGTAATCATTTATGCAGGCTAAAAATATAAACTCTGCACAAACAGCCTTCACAAAAATTTGTTTTTATATCCTGTAAGTTGGTATGAGAACAAAAGGCAACATTTGTTATAAAGTAGCCATTGAAAGTATCAACCGCAAGCGTCTCGTTTTTTGTTCGTCTTGTAAAATCAAATTATTCAAAAGTTTGTGATTTCTCGGAACCCATCAATTTCGTTCAGTATGTGGTGGCTTCATGGACGGATATAGGTCGAACTTTCACCTTCACAAATGTCAAGAGCGTTGTGGAGGTATCTGGATCTATGCCTACGTCAGAATTTTGTGTAGTTTTAATGTAATTTGATTTTATAATTCGAACAAACACGTATACCTACTAGGCTGTCAGCGGCACGACCATAATATATGTAAATGTCTAAATAACAAACACGATTTTATTGAAATCTACGTATTTTGTTAGATATTTGTATTTTTTCTCAAATATTAATTTGATACACCATCTGTCTACTGACAGATATAGATATATCTAGACAAATACCTCTCAGTATAGCATTATTTTTAAATCTGGAAGTTACTTTTTTAATTTTGTTTTAAATTTTTGGAATAATCCATCCAGGATCTTCTGAAACTTTTTGTACTAAAAGTTTTATTTCGCAGTATTTATTATTTGTTGCTTATAGAGTTTTATTACCGTCTAGACTTTAATAAAAACGGATTATAAATCAGCACAGTCGACTCGACATTTTTTAACTTTTTTTCCTTACTGAAGTAAATAATAACTTATAAATTGGCAGCGACTAAAAATATTGCTAGTAATTTATTTTCATAAAACAATTTTTAATCGTTAAAAATGTTATAACAACTTTCAACTTAAGGTTATTTTTATATTTTTTTTCAAACCCGTTTTAAGGGAAATATTTTTGTTTTACACATTTTTTATGTTTAGTGTCTCTAAATTCTATTATCTTTAGTATTATTACATGCAGAGAAGAATTTTTAATGATGTTTACTGTATTAAATGAAAACGAAACTAAAAATATTATGTGTGAAATAATGAGTAATAAAAGTTCAATTTTTAATAATTATCTCCCTGTTTTATTTTATTTATTATATTCCTCTGATTCGTACAAAATTTTCTTAAACATATATTTATACTATTCAACATACTATTTCTATTATTTTTTGTATAACAATATACAGGGTGTCTCATAATTAGCTACCAACCTTGAACAGGCCAATGCTATGATCAAAACTAAGTAAAAATGTTCATATGAACATGGGTCCGGAAATGCTTCCTAAGGGCACAGGGACCCATTGAAGAGGGAGGAATGGAAATCATTTTTTTGCAATATCTCTCAATCGCGTTGTGATAAATGAATGAAATTGGGTATACACAGCTTAATTTTGATGGACTAATCCATTTATTTCCACAAGGTCCATTGGGGTGGGTACGGGGGGGGCCCTTGGTACTTTGCGTGTGTAACTTTTTCATCTTTGACTTTTTAACAAATTAGACAGCAAATTCCGTTTTCCCGAACTGTTTTACGTTAAAAAGGTACTCTTGTTTCAAATCGTTATCTTTAACGGTTTCTGAGAAAATCGCTCTTGAATTAATCCCACTTTGGTCAATTTCATAGTAATTTAAACAAAATTATCAAGGTATTCTTATGTCAAAGTATTGTCAACCCGATTGCCAATTTAATAGTTCTAAGCGAAAAAAATGGAAGAGTTTACGGGACAAGAGTTAGTTGATATGATATTTATTTATGGCTTTTGCGATGGTAATGCTGCAGCGGCAGAACGCGAGTACGGGAGAAGGTTTCNAAACTGAATTTGCTGTCCAATTTGTTAAAAAGTCAAAGATAAAAAAGTTACACACGCAAAGTACCAAGGGCCCCCCCGTACCCACCCCAATGGACCTTGTGGAAATAAATGGATTAGTCCATCAAATTGCTCATCAAAATTTAGCTGTGTATACCAAATTGCATTCATTTATCACAACGCGATTGAGAGATATTGCAAAAAAATGATTTCCATTCCTCCCTCTTAAATGGGCCCCTGTGCCCTTAGGAAGCAATTTCGGACCCATGTTCATATGAACTTTTTTACTTAGTTTTGATCATAGAATCGGCCGTCTCAGGGTTGGCAGCTAATTATGAGACACCCTGTATAGGTAATATAAAAAAATCATTAACGAGTCTGGCTCCCTCTATGAGCAAGCAGCTTAACTGCTCGCCAACTTTGATAAAATAGAAATCTAAGTTTGCACTTGAAATAGGAAATAAAAAGAATTATTTTTGCATATTTCTCGAATTATGTAAATATATCATCTATATTTTATATGTTAAATATTTATTTACACATCAATTAATAATGATACTTTAATAATACTAAAGAAGTACAGTAAAGTTGCTGTTTATTGATTTTTGTTTAGTGTCTACATCTTACGACGAAATTCTGAAACATCCTGGCTGACACAAGTCGCATGAGTTTTTTAGTTGTTTACGAGTTTACGTAACTCTCCATAGATGGCACCATACAAATTACACCAATAATTTTGATTATCTGGTTTTCGGTTATTGATAGTTTGGAAAATACTGGTTGTGAATAAATGTAATAAATTAAACCAAATATGTATTTATTCATAAATTTACAATAATCAGTTTTTACTTAACCGAAATCATTTAATGCAAAGGTAAGCAAGTAATTTTACTTACACTAGCAGAATGCTAACCTAACTTTTCTTCCAGTCATAATGACTTTCATGACACTGGCCCACTATCTACAAATAATAGACCGGAGTTGGAGGGCACAGGATGGTGCAAAAGTCGCTACTTTTATATCCCTCCGTCATGAACATGCCAAGTACGGCAACTACCAGCTGGAAATGCCCGAAGGTCTCGTCGACAAATTCCTGATAGCACCAGCGGACGAACTAGTAATTTTGCACTTGAAATGTCTGTATTACATCGGAAAAGAAGACTTCTTAGGCGCTTACCAACAGCAGAGTACGCTGGTACAAAGTTTCGCGAAAATTTTACAAGCACAGAAAGAAGAGAATTGGTCTTTACCGATCATGTATACGATTTGTTCAGATTTAAGACTTATCGCTCAGCAAGCGGAGAAGCAGAAAGTAGGGGTTAACGAGAAGCCTGGAGAGATTTTAGAGAAGGCAGCCGAGTGTTTAATGGGGTGTTTCAGAGTGTGTGCTGCCGACAATCGTTCTGGAGAAGAAGACACAAAAAGAATAGGCATGTTAGCGCTAGTGAATCAGTTATTTAAAGTTTATTTTCGGATTAACAAACTGCATCTGTGCAAGCCTTTGATAAGGGCCATAGAGTCTTCACCTTTCAAAGAGAGCTTCTCGCTCAGTCAGCAAGTCACGTACAGGTACTTTGTGGGGCGAAAGGCCATGTATGATAGCAACTACAAAGCGGCCGATGAATATTTAACATACGCCTTTGAAAACTGCCACAAATCAAATCGGAAGAATAAACGTTTGATTTTGATATACCTAGTTCCTGTCAAAATGCTTCTAGGTTATATTCCGAGTAAAATAGTGTTAGAAAAATATGACGTTACACAGTTTTGGGACTTAGTTCAAGCAGTGTGCCAAGGCAACTTGAAGCTATTCGACGAATTGATGGAAATGCACGAGACCTTCTTCATTAAATGCGGTATTTACTTAATTGTGGATAAATTGAAGATCATAGCGTACAGGAATTTGTTCCGGAAAGTGTACTTGATACTGAACACTCACCAGATCCCTGTCGAGGCTCTACAGTGCGCTTTGGAGTACCTGGGACAAGACGTGGACTTAGACGAGACTCAATGTATAGTGGCAAATCTTATTTACGAGGGGAAAATCAAAGGGTACATATCGCATCAGCACAGGAAAGTCGTCGTTAGCAAGCAGAATCCGTTCCCTGCTTTGACTAGTTTGACTTGAACGATCAATTTTTTGCATTAATTTTGAACATTGTTTATATACGTTATAAAAATTGTTAGAAATAGAGAGTGGTAAAATGTAAATTTGTTTCAATCTGTAATTTTTATAATAAATACCGAAGATATTTGTAGTTTGACGCATGGGAGTTGAGTGAAAACAGAAAGATTGTCAAAGAAAATGCAAGCGCAATTTTTTAGTACAAGAAATTAAAGGGTGCTCAGTTTAGGAACAATTTCATGGGGGTTTATATGCAAGGGGTGTATTTTTGCTTTCATTCTTAATCAATTTTAAAATGCCATGCACAGATTTCTCTATACAGTGTGTTTTAAGTACTTGTACAAACTTTAAAGGGTGAATCTTTGACTAATTTTAAGATAAAAAGTTCATATGAACATGGGTTCGCAACGTCTTGGTTTTTGAGATAGAGCGTACAAAAAAATTTTTTTTTTAGTATTTTGATTATATTTTAGTTCCATAACATGGTAATTTGACCAAATTCAGGAAACTGGGAGTATCGATGATGAGAAACTGAAATATTTACTTAATTTTTTGTTTAATGTCAGAAGGCGCTACATACAGACAGTATTGTATCTGCATTTAAATAACTATACCTTTTTTTTTGTCTCAATGTATGTCATTTTTGACTAAACATATCAATTCTTCATTCAATTTTACGTGCAAAAGGTACTCTTAGTATTTGTCACTGAAAGCAGCCGTTTTGTAAAAAAACGGGTTTAAAGTTAAACCTGTGTTGGAATTTTGTTAAGTAAAATCATTAAGAGTTTTTGAAAAATAAGCGAAAATCAGTGAAAATTAGAAAAAAAAGCTTTGTGATTCTAATTAATTATTATTTTTTTATTTATTTGTTTATTGAAATGAAATACTCAACGGGCAGAGCCCAATTACAGGATAAGTTACAATTTGAAATTAAGTCACAATTAAGAAGAAAAACAAGTGGAGGAAAAAAAAGTGAAATATAATGTCAACAGTACAACAGCTTAAAAGTGAAGCAAACAATGAGAAAAAATGTAGAACAAATAGTGAGAACAACAAAACAAAAAATTAAGAAGCATGTAAGAAAAATATGCACCAGTACAAATGATAAATATAAAATAAGCTTATAAAATACAATAAGTTTAAGATGTAAAAAGAGTAGAAAACAGATAATTGAAAACAAAGCTTAACATAGCGCAGTGTACAAGATAAGATATCGACGTAATTTTCAATTTCACGATAGTTATTTAACATCTGATGTAAAGGCGATTTAACTGATATATTAGTACGAGCATGAGGTACGGCAAATAAGCTATTAGATCTGGGTATTCTAAAATTTAAACGTGCAAGTAAGTCATCAGATTTAATAACATAGTGAATTATTTTATAGAGCATTAATATGGAACGCATTTTACGTCTGGAGATGGTTGTAAAATATATTCTGTGGTGTTCCTCTAACATATAAACCGTCAAGAATAAATGCTACAGATTTAAAGAATCTGTTCTGTACCTTTTTAAGTCCAGAAATTTGGCACTCGTAAATAGGATTCCATATGACACAGCCATATTCAAGTTTAGATCTGACAAACGTACGTAGATGAAGAGTAGTGAAATCTCTAAATTCACTGGAATTACGTAAAATAAAACCCAAGTTTTTGTATGCCCCCGCTATGGGAAGCTCAACATGCCGAGCAAACCTATTAAATAAGTATATAAATTACTGCCACAAGATGGAAGATATAATTAATATAATATGTGCATATATCTCACGTCAAAACCAAAATACTTTTAGAAACGTTTTCAAATTTTTTAGAGCTTTTAGTTTTGTGAAAATTCCAGTTAAAAAGTTCAACATGTGTAAGTGGCAAAATAAATAATGAAAAATATTTATCGTTGATCCTCACAAACTTAAAAAATAAAAAAATAATGGCAACGAATGAGTACGGTAGATACTTATTAAATTTATTAGCTGCACTAAATAAACTAACAATAAAATAGGCAGGACATATACAGGGTGCCGCAGAATAACTATTCCTAATTTTTAGAAAATAGATTCGGGAGCCAATCGTACTATCCGAAATATTGACTTTGAGGACAAAAGTTTTGCAACAATTTGAAAATAACCCGAAAACAAGCACTCGTGCCATTGCCCATGTGATGCATACAATAAGCCACACATCTGTACGGAGGGTATTAAAGGAATACCAGAAGCATCCTTTCACATTTAAAAAGTGCAATCGTTCATTCCAGCTGATTATTCCAACAGAGGTCAATTTGTCGAATGGTACTTGAGTAAAATTAACGACGAACCAAGATTGCTTGAAAATGTCCCACTTAATATTCGAAGAAATATTATTTTCCAGCATGATAGTGCACCAGCACACTTTGGATTAAACTGCCGAAACTATCTAAATGCACAATATCCAAATTGGAAGGGTGGCAGGGGTGATTTCTTGGCCTGCACGTTCACCAGATATGACTCCAGTTGATTTTTGTATTTGGGGCAATATTAAATCACTGGTTTATGAGACACGTACCTGTGAATACTGAAGAAGATTTAGTGGCTCGAATTATTCTAGCGTTTGATGATATTTGTGATGAGCATATCCGCAGCTATTTCAAAGAATTCGCAGTCGATTACACATTGTTACAACTTGTGTATCGAAAATGGTGGTCGTAACTTCGAACAACTTTTATATACATAGTTTGTGCAGTTTAATTTAGTAAGTTATTACTCTTTCCTTTTGTAATTGAAATTGTTTATAAAGATTTCCAGTTTATCTTGACACCGAGAAATTTCCTTAATACCGTCTATCATTTCTGTAAATACTGTAAATATTCTGTAGGAATACTTATTCTGTAAGACCTTGTATAGAGAAAACAAATACCTAAGCCAAGATGTTGAATGCGGCTGCTATGGCCATCTATTGGCTGGAGTGGAACTATGTATTTAGACTCGGGACAGTGTTAATAGATGGATCTCTTTTTGTAATACATTTATGCCATAAATTAATAATGAATTTACACTAATTTACTTCAGATTTATTTTTTTACTTGCAGACAAAGTAAAAATCACTTATTTTTACTGCAATTCCATAAATTTAATTAATTTCTATATGGAATTTTCACATTTGTTTTTTGTGCAGATTTTGTCTGAATTTATAAAGGACGATTTCACATTTATTACTTTCTGGCGGACCCCAATGTTGTATTTTTTACGTTCTCAATCAATAAAACATGACGTGTTTGTGAACCCGGCATAAATTTGATAAATTTTAGTTGCTGCAATAACAGTCTATTAGCTCCCAATTTTATTTGCTCGTGGCATGTCGAATTATTGGTTCTGGCTTTTTGCAATAAAACGAAAATTCATTTTTCACTCGCCCCTGCGATATTCTGTTTGTGGCTCCCACGGAATTTATATTGCTGGTAGCCTGCAGTACTGCTTTATTATTTTACAATTTTCTCGGAAATAAAACCAAAGCGATTTACTAAGTAAAAAGTTAGTGAAACGGGATAGCTTTTTGTACAGGTGAAGAAATATTTGTTTATGAACATATAGGGTGTATGGTTATGGAGAAAAACAATTTGTTTCATAATAAATCGATAAAAGGCGTTAAATTACAAATTCCAATCCTTTCCCTTTATTTCGAGGCCAATTTTGCTGGCAATTAAAGCTCCAGGAGCCAAGCAAATGGTTTGTTGATAACAATATGCTGAGGGGGATGTCAAGACTAATGACTCCTGAGTGGGGTTGGGGGTGATTGCCAGCGAAGTCTCACTTTCTCCCGAGTTTTAAATACGGTCTCCCTGCCAGGGTGATAAATGTAAAAGGATTTTTTCCCACAAACTTTTCATTAGATTTATTTCCCTTTCTCCGGTGTGAAAAAGGCATCTTGTTGCTCCCAATCGTGGGTGGATTTTCTCCCAGTGTTCATTTCCGCTGGTAAGCCAGGCGGGGCTTCCCAAATTTAAATTCAATTTATTTTTAGCCGGATAATATCCTTTGTCGAGGAATGTTGCTGAATTCGGCTACATAATTAAGTCTGAGGGCCAAAGACAGATGCAAATAGGTTAGGCTTCCTTCTAGCTTAATACAGACGTAATTGAAATGTACAGTCTTATCTAAAAGTTATTATTTCTGCAGCTATGGAACTATTTGTGCGAATTAATTTATGTTGGTACACACCATACTCCACAAAGGACTCTTCATAAAAGTTCACCCTATAATATTTCTTTATTATTTCATATAACATATTGAAACTATATGAACCAGTGACAAAAACCACTTTTTCACGTTTAACGATAGTTTTTCTAATTGTTGATTGTTTTGACCTCTGTACCTGTATTCTCAATTTGGCATTTATCCAGTTTTATATTGTATTAACATAAATAAACAAATAAACAAAGACACAAACCAACAAACAATCAAACCAAAAAATAAAGGAACACAAATACAAATAAAATTAAAAGATGAACAAACTAATGAACAAACAAACAAACACACACACAAGCATAAACAAACAAACAAACAAACAGACAAGCAGATAAATAAATAAATGAATAAATAAATAAACAAAGGCACCACACTTCCTGGAGCCAATGTCAGTATCTTTCACCACAAGATGAGCATCTCAGTTCATGAACTCAAGCCTAGTCTTCCGCTTATCGTGAATTTAGTGCCTATTCAGATGGCTTTGAGGGTACCCGAGCTCGTGCGTCTATGTCGAGGGTGAAATCGTACCGGATCTACTTAAATTAATTAATAGGGCTCGGGGAACTACTAATAAGTCCTTGGCGTAAACGCTATTGCGATTGGATTGGTTCCCGAAATGTAGCTTATGGCTTAGCGGGGTGATTAAGAATATCGAGGGTCAGGGGTGGCGGGCTAGGGAATGGGGGGACTGTCGCTCATAAATATATTATTAATGCGTATACCGCTTCGCCAGTAGGTTTGTGAGAATATTTATTGAGATATTGAAAGGGGTATTCAAAGTGTAGACCTATTTTCGAGAATAATATTCGTCGTCAGTATAAGTTTTTAGGTAATAAAACTGGTTTGTGCTTGTGCTTGTAGCGTATATTGTTC